CCACTCTCTCCGATGTCCAGCTGGGGGCAAGTACGATCGTTAGAAGAGTGTCGGCTATGTGCGGGAACTTGACAGAGCAGCTGGACCGGGATCTGGCTACGTGCCGGTGGTTTAGCATCCAGTGCGACGAGTCCGTGGACAGAAGCAGTACAGCACAGCTGATGATGTTTATCCGAATGGTGTTTGATGATTTCTCCACAAAAGAAGAACTCTTGACACTACTGCCCCTGAAGACAACAACGAGGGGAGTTGACGTTTACACCGCGGTCAAGAGCTTCTTCGTGGAGAAGAAGGTACCATTAGAAAAGCTGGTGTCGGTGACTACAGACGGGGCTCCCGCAATGACGGGCCGACATGCAGGCTTCATTGCGCAATGCAAAGGTGAGTCAGACTTCCCATCATTTCTACATTACCACTGCATCATTCACCAGCAGGCATTATGTGCAAAAATGACCGGCTTTAATCATGTGATGACCCCTGTCTTGAAAATCATAAACAGCATCCGCTCCAAAGCCAAACAACACAGGACATTCAAAGTGCTGTTGGAGGAGCTGTCAGCTGAATATGGTGACCTGTTATTACACACAGAAATCCGATGGCTCAGCAGGGGAAAAGTATTGCAGCGTTTTTTGTCACTTTTGGGTGAAATCAAAGTATTCTTGCAATCCAAAGGGGAAGACGCCTCACTGCTTGAGGACACTGAGTGGATACTTGACCTTGCATTTTTAACAGACATCACTGGGAAACTGAACAATTTGAACTGTGAACTGCAAGACAAAGGCAAGACTGTTGCTGACATGATAAGTGCTGTAAATGCATTGAAAGCTATGATGAGCATATTCTCTGTGCATTTACAGGGAAAGAAAGTGTTGCACTTTCCCTCTGTGCAGTCAGTGCTGCATGACAATGCTTCTGCATCTGGGGCTTTCGACAAAGCTGCAGAAAAGTACTCTCAAGTCATAAACAGACTTGGTCAAGAGTTTGAAAACAGGTTTTGTGACTTTGGTCAACTTGAGCCATGTGTGTCATTCATTTCAAATCCTTTCATGCAAGTGGACCTGACATGCATTGCTGAGCAACTAAGTGCAACCTTCAACGTGGATGCTGGACAGGTGGAGATTGAAATCCTAACGTTGCAAAATGACCTCCACCTCAAAGCCCATCAGGATGCACCAAACTTTTGGTGCCTTGTGAACACAGAAAAGTACAAAGGTGTATGCACAGCAGCTATGAAAGTTGCCTGCCTTTTTGGTTCAACCTATCTTTGTGAGTCAGCCTTTTCAGACATGAACTTCATCAAGAACAAACACAGAACACGCCTTACTGATGCAAATCTACAAGATTTACTCAGAGTTGCAGTGTCAAATTATACCCCAGATTACAGTACACTAGTGGACAGCATGCAATGCCAGACTTCCCACTAATAGAAGGCAAAGAAAGAGATAACAGATGTTTTCAGTGAAACACCATGGCAACGGTAAACTCAAACATTGTCCAAAAATGTGAAAAATAATTTGATCAAAAAGTGTAAAAAATGTGCTGTTTTGTCAAAGATTCTACAGATTTAGTGATTAATAAAAATATGATCTGATTGAGTTGATGTTCTTTTTTAAACTTTACATAATAATATTATATATGATATGATTATAATAAATAAATAATATTGTATGTTTAAATATATCTGTGTTTCCTACCATGGTAAATCATTGTTAATAATTATTGTGAGGAATAATTAACATTAACATGTGATCAGACAGTCCTTCACATACAGTAAATTAATATTTATTCTGATCATTATTAATAATAATATCATTAAAGGTGAACCGTGCAATTATGTTATTCAGGAAGTTTGTATCAAACAAGTAGCCCTTTGTATTACTCAGTACCCTTGAAGTAGCCCTCGGTGACAAAAAGGTTGGTGACCCCTGGTGTAGAGGTAGTGCGTAGGGGTAGTGTGTAGGGGGTAGTGTGTAGGGTGTAGGGGTAGGGTGTGTAGGGGTAGGGTGTGTAGGGGTAGGGGTAGTGTGTAGGGGGGGTAGTGTGTAGGGTGTAGGGGTTGGGTGTGTAGGGGTAGGGGTAGTGTGTAGGTAGGGGTAGTGTGTAGGGGGGGTAGTGTGAAGGGGTAGGGTGTAGGGGGCGGTTTTGAATTGGGCCTTAGTCGTCTCATTTAGCCACTTCTTAGCAATCAGTTTCAGACGTTCACTGCATACTTTATGCAAAAGTATTCTGTAATCTACTTAAAAATGCAATTGTAATTCTTTATAAAAAGAAAAAAATATATAAATGCAATGGTACATTTTCTTATTTCAAGTATAAGTTTATGTACTTACTTAACTTAGGCCCAATTCCAAACCACATACCCACTCCCCCTCCGTGATGGAGAGGACTCCGTCTGTAGTGACACTCGCAGCTTAACGAGGCTCCCTTCTTTCAGGTGGAGGGTGTATAAACAGCAGCGAGCTTTGGGACGAACTCCCCTCTCTCCGGCAGAAACAGGAAATGCCATAATTTTCGTAACAACGCTTTCAAATCAGCATCTCTTGGATTAAAAATAACAAAAATAAAACTCTAAAAATCTTTTATGGCATATATTTGTTGTCAACATATTTTTGTTTTAAAATCTGATGTTGAGAAGCTGCTTAGTTTTAGCAAAAGTCCTGTTATTAAACAGCGTGTTTCCTGACGGACACAAACAGCGTTGAGTCCGGTCAGGTAGGGCAGCAGGTGAAGTCAGGACTGATGCAGACTCGCTGTTTGAGGGCTTGATAACCCACTACCCCTCCACACTCATTGGTTTGGAACAGCACTTAATGTGGCGGACCCTCCGCGTGAACGGAGGGGTAGTGTGTAGGGGTAGGGTGTAGGGGACGGTTTGGAAATGAGCCTTCAAGTATTTCCATCTTCTACTTTACTCGGCTACATAGAGGACATTAGAGGCAAGACTTGTTCTTTTCTACATTTGTTTGTTTGTTACTTTACAGATTCAGATTATTAATGTTCATTTATATCAACAAGTACCATATGTTTTATATATTATTACAAATGATTGACTAACATGGGACATTGACACGCTATCCAGCTGTATATAAGTTATTTAGATACCAGCTTCATCAACGAACTGATGAACACATTGATGCATCAGTCACTAAAGTCCAGTAACGGCCTATTACTCTGCATAATGAGTACTTTCTAAACAGGTTTTAGGTTTTGATGCAGGACTTTTACTTGGAGTGAAGTATTTCTACACTCTGGTATTACTACTTCATCTCGAGTAAGTACTTCTTGCACTCCTGTGTGAATGCACCTAAAATGGTTCAACATGTAGAACTGCTTGCTTTTCAGAGTGTGTGTTTCTGAGTGTGTGTAGCATTTAACACAAGATGTAGTCCTCCTGCCTTATAAACTCACACAAACACAGTTGTGCACACGTGTATGTATGTGCTGGAGGAAGTAGGTCAGTAGTGAAAGGGTTCTCGGCTGTCCTCACTCGGCCTCTGTTCGGCCCGTCACACCACTCGTGTCGACTCTAATTTCCTCCTCTCTCTGTCATCCCCCTCCTCTTCCTCCTCCCTCCCTCCCTCTCTCTATCTCTGCTGGGCTTATGAAGGAGCAGGTCCCACCCCTGGTTCAGACGGGTCTTGTGGAGGTTAACTCTTCATCTGCCACCTTTCTTCTTCTTTACTGTATCTCCCCCTTAAAACTACTTGTACTTCGTCCTCGTGCTGTCTGTGTTTTCTCTGCCAGACCATGTGTGGCGTGTCCTTGGTGTTTTTGAGGGAGACCCGACGCCACAAAATGGGGCAGAACTCGGTGTGGTGAAGGACGTGAATTAACCTTGCCCTCCCTGTGAGTTTTGTTCACAAACAGAAGGAGAAAAGAGTGGCAGTGGTTCCGGCCGGTGAACTCAGGATAATGCCCAGATCTGTGAACAAATGTTGTATTACCTAACCCCCCCAAGCAGCTTTACATGATTTACAGTAGAGGGAGCAGAGGCGGTGTCTGAGCTCACACTGCCATCTGCTGGAAGAAGAACCTCCATTTTCACCACACAGACACCAAAACGCCCCAACATGGCTCCCAAACATTTTTCTCAGGCACAGACAAATTCACCCTAAAATCTGTTGATTTCATTTTGTAAAAACAACAACAAAATAGTCCCTGAAATGTAAAGCGGAGTGAGAAAGCAGCAGGTGGAGCGGTGGAGGTGGGTAAGCAGAGGCAGCGGTTTGATGTGCAGGAGAACAGTATGTTCCTGGAATGGTTAGGCTGGTTTCTATGGTGCCGCTGGTTTCTATGGTGCCGCTGGTTTCTATGGCATTTCACCAGGCTCACTGGGCGACGGTGAATACCTCTGTAGACTGAGGCGGGTCACAGAGGATTAAAACACAGACTCGCTGTGGGAAGCTCCAGAGGAATGAAGCTGCTGGAACAAACAGCAGGAGTGGAATCACACATGGTTACATTTAGAATATTATTCAGGTTTCTGTGGAAAGATATGAAGAGGAAGGTGGACATTTCTCTTTCAAAAAATCCTGTGAACAAGACATGCAGGTGTTTTACAACAGGAAAGATATGCTTTACGTGAAATATTCAGCAGGTGCAATGCAGAATTTGTTTCTTTAAATGAGCATTTACTAACGATGACTATAGTTTAAAAATGAAATGATTTGTAAATGTGTAGACATAAAATGAATCAGCAACAACAAATGTGATGGTTGTTATCATTGTTTAAAATGTGTCTCGTTTTAATATCTTTCAGTTTTATGGTCTTTAGGTCCGACAAAGCAATAAGACATAATACGCCATTTAAGATATTATTTCTTTGATTGAATGTTTTGTGCATAAAATGTCAGAAAAGAGTGAAACATTTAAATAAAACCCCCAAAATCGTAAACATTGAAATTAGCAAGTAGAAAAAATTGTATGGTTAGAACTCAAAACTGCACTTAATCAGAGATTATAGTGAGTCTCAATACAAATCAAAAACCAGCATCTGAATCAAACTTGTTTTTCACTTTTTATTTTTCGCTTGCAGACAAAAAAAGATATCCATGAAAGTCCAGATATAATAAATAAATTAACTACTAAAAAGTTGGCTATTAAAGCGATGTAAAATGGCAGAAAGGCGTAACGTACAGAGCTGGAAAAGGATCAATAAAACCCAGAAACCTCCGCTGATTGTTTTCTCATTGCATATCCTAACAGTCCTACACATGGAGAGCAGAGAAAAGACAAATATTATAATAGCATTTCCTTTTTTTTTACCCCACGTATGAAAAGTTAAAAAGTTCCCGTGGGAACCTAGCCAAGTGCTTGTGGTTTCTCATCCCTAAAATATTATTTCTCGTGGAAAAACCTGAAGGATATTGTTTTGTTAGTTCACCCGTATTTGAGCAATAAACAATAACTATGTCTTCTTTTATTTTCTTTTTAAAGTGATTTAAACTTAGGTGGCACAGACAAAAAAAGACAGAAACGCCATCTCAGGAGACATAATTATTATCGTGTACTCGTATATTCATGCATACAGTATTCTATAGAAAAAGAGAAGTGTAAATGTCACAATCTTGCCGAGTTATTAGCTTCACTGACTGAGGTAAAGTTGCCGGTTTCCTGAAGAAGAGCACACGTGCCTTTTTCTGTTTTTCTTTTTGGACAAGACACAAACAGTGTATCTCCGTTTCGAGTCGATCACAAAATCAGCTTGTTGGAAAAATAATTTATTTGGCAAGTGTCCAAAGAATGACGAAAAAGTGACTGAAGTTTAATCTGTATCATCCTCCTCCATCTTTCTTTTGAATCGTGTTATCAGAGCTTTAATGTAGAGCTCAAAGAAAAATCCACCTTAAAACATTTTGTTTATTTCTTTCATTTCATTTTGTAGTCATGATTTTTCATTATTTTGGTCTATGTCTAACTGGCTATTGTATTGTGACTTTTGTTCCTACATTTCCCACAATGCCTCTGAAAACCCTTGAACTTGTCAAAAGGTGGCAGATAAGATATGTGTATAGAGAAAGCAGTTAGTAAAAATGTACATATTTAATATAATTCATTTAATTATAAGTCTGAGATGTTAAAAGTACGGATCATTTTTAGTTCTGTATATGTTTAATGAACTTATTTGCCTAGAGTCATAATTATTTTTAATGTCAGAAGTTAGTGATACATAATCATTTCCACAGAGTCTAAGGTTCGTAGTTTCCTTTATTATTCATCATTGTAACCTTGTGACTGTCGGACCAACAAAAAGACATTTAAACAGACGATTGACCTCCCCTATTGTTCTCTGATTAATGAAGGTCCATCAGAAAGTTTAACAAACATAATCATTAGTCCGAGCCTGAGGGAAATCTTTAAAGAACATGGACCAACAGTCAAAAACATAACATGTTTTTATTTATTCATTCACATTTTTGAAAGTGACCTTTTTGTTATTTGATTTGTGTAAGATGAATATCGTATTCTAAGCAGTATAGTAAACACCATGATGGTTATTCAAATTAAAGGATTTCTTTCTTATTTTTTTATCCCAATATAAGATTAAGATTATTTTAAAATCATTTAAACTCTTTAATTTTGATACATTGATATTGGGTTAAAAATCTAAATAGTTTGTGTATTTATGAAGGTAAATAACTTGAGCCTACCTTATAGTTGCATTTTGGGAGTCCGCTATGTAGAGAATAATAAATCTGATAAAAAAATCTAATCTAATAATTGCCAAACAATAGTTTTAAGGTGGATTTTTTAAGGTGTTGGTGCCTTTTGCGTGTTTGGAGGTTAATCCAGAAGCTGATTTGACGTCATTGAAACCGAATGGACCCAAACACCTGCTCACATGGAAATCATCACCGTATTCAAAAGAACTCAGGATAGCGTAATAATAGTATCATGGATTTAGTTTCCATTATATGTATATGTCGTTAAGACTTAAAAAAAATACAAAAAAGTTCACACGCAGACTCGCACTGATTTCTTTTGATTCAGAAAAAGAAATTATAAACAGAATGGCACTAATTTGTCTATTCACATAAAAAAACAGTATGGTTTCAAAAACCTCTTTTCATCAGAACAGTAAAACGTTTTTGGGGCCTTGAGAAAATGGTCCATCATTCAGAGAAAAGTGTTTTGATAATTATGAAAAAACCATGCAAGGTCTCACCTCTCACTTTAAAAACATTGATTCCTTCTTTTGTAAGAAAAAGGACAAAGGGCAAAAATAAAAGCCTTGATATTTGTACAGGAGCAGGGGACTTACTCTGCTGTTGGTCCCCTCAGCCCCTCAAACACTTCCTGTCTGTAGATCAGCGTCCTCTCAGTGTTTCTCAGCTGCTGCAGAACCCAAAGCTCCAATCCAAGACACAGATTCTAGATCAGTTAGTCCTCCTGTGACCATGTTTAGGTCCCGAGCCACCAGCTGAGAAACACTGACACCTTCTCCCTCCATGTCCACTCCACAGTGTGAGGAAGCAGCACTGATTCTGCAGATTAAATGAAGAAACACAGACATAATGTCAAATATTATTTCATTTCCAAATGTGAAATGCCTAAAGAAATGTGTTTATTCTAGTCTCAGATAATAAGATGTAGGGCTGCCCTCGACTGAAGATTTTTCTAGTCGACCAATAGTCGTCAATTCAGGCGATTAGTCGACTTATCGTTGCATGTCTATGATATATTAGGATTATTAATATACATTTGTCTTTAAATATCATGACCTGTTTAGTATAGTCGACATATTGTCGATGCTGAGCAAAGTCAAGTGTAGTAATGCGTTTAAGTAAATATATATATAAATGATACTATGCCGTGGAATAGTCACAGTATAATAAGTTGTAGATGATACACAGTAAAGTATGTAATGAAAAAGTCTAGTATGTTCAAGTCGGGCTGTAATCAAACTATTTTAATTTTCTTCAAGATGTAAATGTTCAAGTGTTTAATACTCTCATCATAGAGGTGAACACATATGTTTGCTTGATTGTCATTTTATTTAAACATTTTATTTGAGTGAAAAAAGATCTTGGTTTTATTTACGCATTATTAGTCTTACAGCTGGTGTATTTTTATTTTGAAGTTTGAAAAGTCATAATGTAGAATAAAAAAAAAGTCAAACTATGTCTTATAAATGTTTGAAAAAAGTCATACAACAGCATTCCATAAAGGTCATTATGTCAAATAGGTAAAAACCCAGTGATATTATAGTCAGTTTTATAGAAATACTTTTCTTTTAACTAATTGTGTTCTGATTATTGTTACATGTAAGGTTTGTTTACAATCCTTAGTCAGAGTCTGAATAAAACAAAAGCAAACTTTTTTTCATAAAGAAGTGAGGGTAACTTATCACCAGTGTGAGACAGAAATCAAACGCACCTCTCTGCTCATGTCTGCTCTTCTGCCTGAGGCTGTGATTGGCTGACCCCTTCAGATTTCTCCTCAACTGCTTCCTCCTCTTCCTCCTCTTCCTCCTCTTCCTCCTCCTTCACCTCCTTCACCTCCTCCTCCTCCTCTTCGCAGTCGTCATCAGTCCCCTCCTCTCCTTGCTCCTTCACCTCCATCTCTTCTTCGCTGTCTGCATGCTCTGCTGCCGCCTCCTCGTCTTCCTCCTCGTCCTCCTCCTCGTCCTCCTCGTCCTCCTCGTCCTCCTCCTCCTCCTCCTCCCTCTCTGCCTCCTCGTCACTGAACAGCTCCTTGCCCTCCTCCCCCCTCCTGGTGGTGGAGGAGAACCAGTCCCTCACCTGCTCGTAGCTCATGCTGGACTTGGTCACCAGGTCGTCCAGGTCCTTCTCGCTCAGGGCTCTGTGTTTCAGGTAGTAGTCCTTCAGGAACGACTTCCCCGACTTCACCTGCAGGAAACACCACAGACATTATTCATTGGGAACTACATGAGACGATTGGTTATAATCTCTGTCTTTTGATACAATATTAACCGTGGTTGCTTTTATTACACAGCTTGAATACTCCGTTGTGATAGGTCAATTTTGACATTCAGAGGTCTGCTCTTATTCTGATAACGGGCTGTGTCCAAATGTTTTGTGTTTCAGTTTATTAGTTTCTCAGGTGTTTCTGATATTTTCTCCACACACCTGTATGAAACAGATTCAACAAACCCTTAACATTTAACCATTCATATAGACAGCTCTATTGTACACTTAATAAAGCGTGAACAAAAGATTCACTGTGCAGACAGACCTTGATGGTGGTGGCGCCCTCTTGTGGGGAGCGCTTGCAGGGGTACGGCCTCCGTGTCCTCCTGGACCAACCTCTGAAACGCTTCCTGGACTTCTTCTGGGTCTTGGCCTCACCGTTCAGCGCCTCGTCCACCTGAACACATCACATAGTCTCATTTATACAGGACTGTAACTGCAGGGCAAAGAGCTCTAAAGAAGTACAAATATTACTAGGGCAACTCTAGGGATACACAATAAATATGCTGATTATGGGAACTATTATATAATAACAATTATGTTACAATCCAAAAATGAAATAATAGCCCAAAATAATCAAGCAAAAATGCTTTAACTGACTTAACAGTCAGTAGGGCGATTTAGCACCTTAACGTTGCTTTGGTTAAAGAAAAAACAAAGATAAACAGGAAGGAGAAGAAGACTCTAGACCAGGGGTGGGGAACCTCCGGCCTCCGGGCCGTATAGAGAGGCGAAGTCCCTCCCCTTCCGGTGGACCTCCATGGGACCTTATTTCGGAAAAGTTATGCATTGAAGTCAATGGAGAGAGAAAGATTATCTTTTGATCCCGTTTGAATTGAGCCACGAATTACACATATGATGTTTGTCAATTTAAAAGATAATTTTGCAAGTCAAAAAAATTAAAATGTGTCGTAAAACTGTGAAGTAACACTTTTTTTGTGTGAAACCGCTCAATGAACTACATCTCCCGTCTCGCACCACACACCAAGACGGCCGTCACGTTGGCAAATTTCACTTCTTTCTTTCAGAATGAGGCGAAAAGTATTAAAAGAGGTGAAAATCACGTCTGGGCATGTTGAGAGCTGTACATACACACAAGGGGAGTTAGTCGGTTCCGTAAGAGCCAGCATGCGGGACCGGGATTCTGGGATTTGTAGTCTTTCTAGTTGCGTATTTTTCATAGTCTTATATTTCAACAGTTTTACGACAAGCTGTGACTTTTTAGACATGGAAATTATTATTTAAGATTGACAAACATCATATGTGTAATTCATGGCACAATTCAAACGGGAACGAAAGATAATCTTTCTCTCCTCATTGACTTCAATACAAACCTTTTCCGAAATAAGGTCCCATGAGTCCCACCGGAAGGGGAGGGACTTCGCCTCTCTATACGGACCGCGAGACCATTTGGTACGGCCCTCGAGGTAATTTATAAACACACGCAAAAAAGAAAAAAATGGAAAAGTGCCGGTCAAAGGTCTTCTTTGTTATTTATTGAGCTTTAAAACAAATGAATAACGACTCTATATAATAAAACACGGAGGACGGAGATCTCTTTTTCTCCCCCTCTTCTGACAGCCCAGCAGCTGATCAGAGCACGGCTCCCCTCTCCTGCAGGGGGGCGTGGTCAGCAGAATCAGACCCGTAGACAGCAAACAGCACATAGAGCGAAATGAGGCATGGCTAAAATGCATGATCTGTTTGGTATTTTGAAAACAGAAACGTATAAATATACCTTATATAGGTATGGCCCTACAATATATCATTTAAATATAGCATGATAGGTCCACTTTAAATCAGGGGTGGGGAACGTATACGGCCCGCGAGACCATTTGGTACGGCCCTCGAGGTAATTTATAAACACACGCAAAAAAGAAAAAAATTAAAGAAATCTAGACCGCAAAAGAATTAAACAAGCGAGTGCCTGTTTTTCCTGGCCAAGGTCAGGGTCCTTGAACACAACACGAGCCTAACGTGTCATCACGTGGTATATGTCTCGTCTGACAGGGGTGCAGTTCTGCCGGAGGGCACCGGAGAGCACCAGAACGCCCCTCCGGGCCGGGACTTCACAAATGGCAGTACCCATAAGGAGCCGTACACATGCCGCAGTTTTTGCGTGGCTGTGTCTTTAGTTGTAAGCCCAGTGGTGATCTGCTCATCTGTCATACTGATCATACAGTCAATAACTTTGTTGTTATTAGCATCTGGTTAGCTAGCTATGCTAACGAATATAAGAAGCTTTTTCTACAACCAGTGAGGTAAAGGCACATCTTTATATGATCATTATAGTTATACAATATTAAGAGAATAAAGTAAACAGGTATAAAATACTATATGACAGTAAAAAAAAGTTGTTTTTAATAAACAAGAATACAGTTTGAAAGGAGAGTGATTTGTAAAATATCCATAAAGAAAAAGAAAAATCTGCTTCCAGTTCTGTTTCATATGGGTGTTGAGAGATGTATCCATAGATCTCCTAATGTTGCTCTCAAAGTGCACCAGATTGATGCTTTTAACTTCAACATTTTAAAACAATTCTTCCCGGGGGAGCATGCCCCCCGGACCCCCCTAGAGGAGGTTAGGTCCCCCCCGCACTTAAATCATGTTCACATGGATAGGAAACTAAATATATTTGCACACATCTTGTGTCCATATCTTTCTGTTTTGGTGGTCATGCCACAACCGTGCACGTGCATGCATGCGCGAGTCATGGTAAGATATCTGGATTAAGAGGTTGCTTTTTCTTTGCACAGCATGAAAGCAGACGTTGAGTTCAATAATTTGTGCGGCCCTCGGAGGATGTTGTCAAAATTGAAATGGCCCTTGAGAGGAAAAAGGTTCCCCACCCCTGCTCTAGACCTTTGTTTTTTTTACAGTTAAGAGGTAGACAGCACAATTGTAATTTGCTATAAAAGTTTTTAACTTTTACTTTACCAGAAAATATATTTTATTTTATTATTTACTTTTTGAAATGTGTTTTAACATTAATAATGTCCTTAAGTTGGGTATAGTCAGGCATTTAGAATATTGTATGATCGCTCTTTGCTCAATATGTATCAGCTTTTCTTACTGTGTGAAGTGCATAAACTACACATGAGCTTCTTATGAAAAAAACTAAATGTGAAATAATTCCTATCTTCACGGGTTCTGCCATGAGAAGCAGGTTATTACCAATTTTGGGAGAAAAGAGTCCCTTTTGTGCAGCTTCTGACAGAAGTTTTACTTTACTTGTATCCCAAATATGAAAAAGGTTAACTTCATTCTGACCCTTTACCTTCCCGCTCTGGTAGAGGTAGTACCACTTCAGGTTGCTGTTCTTGCAGGCGTAGCGCGTGTCTCCGAACCAGTTGACAATGTAGGTCCTGGGCAGGCCGCTGTCCTCCGCCATCTGGTCGTACTCCTCGGGGATGGGCCACTGTGTGCGGACGAAGGCCTTCTTCAGGATGTGGAGCTGCTCTGGCGTCTTCTTCATGGTCTTCCTTGCGGCGGGGGGCGTGGTCTGCCGCTCATGAGCCGAGGACGAAGGAGCAGCGGCTTTCTCGCTGTCCTCCTCGTCCTCGTCCTCTTTCGAAGGCATTTTTCGTCTCTCCGTGAACCAAGCGTCCACCTCGCGCCGCGTCAGCTTCGTCTCTGCTCGCAGCCGGCTCAGCTCCTCGTCCGAGGGCGTGTCTGATTTCTGGAAGCTGGCCTCCAGGACTTGCAGCTGCTCCTGAGTCTTTTCCTTAAACTTCTGTGGCGTGAAATCGGGGAAGGCGTGGCGGAACTTGACCCGCGGGTCTCTGGTGGACCCCGACAGGGCGGTGGCTGACGTCGGCGAGCAGTCGCTGGCGTCGTCGCTGGAGTCGATGACGATGGTGGGGTTGTGGTCGCTGGCGTTGCTGTCGTTTTGGCTCCCGCTGTTGTTCCTTCCTGTTCGTCCTCCTGGCGCTGGCGCTCTGGTGGGCGGGGCTTCAGTAGGCAGGACGCCTTGGTGATCCTTGGAGTTCCTCTGGTTGTAGCGTGTGTCGCTGAACCACTTTTTTATGGCTCGTTTGGACAGTTTGGTGACCGCCATGAGTCGGGATATCTCTGCCTCCGTGGCGAATTGCCTCCGGCCGTAGCTGGCCTTCAGCTCCGCCAGCTGCTCCTTGGACTTCTTGGGTTTGGCGGTCGATGCGTCTGAACTGTACGCACCGCCTGCCGCCATCTCAGTCTTTGATTCCGACGTGGAGGGTTCGGCTGCTTTGGGCTGGTTGCCGGGGACGCCTGCGACGGTCAGGGTGATGGGAGATGTGACCGGCAAGGTGCTGCCGTTACCGGACACCTGAGTGAGGATGAGGCCCGTCTGGCCCACGATCTGGCAGGTCTGGAAGATGGACTGCAGGCCGTTGGTGGCTGCAGCCAGGTTGGCCGGGATGACGGTGATGGTCTGAGGAACGTTCTGCACCGTGCCGTTAAACTTCTTCCTCCTCGCCTCCTCCACCTGTGGAGAGATGGGGACCAAGAGGAAGAGATGTTACCGTTTTGTCTTTACTGGGAAGGAAGACGAGCTGGACTGGCCTGTACAGAATTAGAAAAATCTAATATACGTCTAAATTAGAATCAGGATTAATTTATTTTTGAAATAAAGTGCCTGTACATTTATTTTACAATCTCAAAAAATGCATTCAGAATGAAGACGGGCCCCCACCTCCTCCGGCGTCCAGCTGACTCCGTGCTTCAGCCTCTGAGCAGAGAACCACACCTTGATCTGCTCCTCACTGAACTTGGTCTGTGAAGACAAGCCCATGATCTCCGACACCGAGGGATATGGAAACCTACCACACAAATCAGAGTGGGATCAGTATTGTTGGAGCTATATATGTTTTCTACAAACTGAGCTGTGGAAGAAGGTAAGGAAACTACGAGAACGTTACAACCATAAGCTGAATTAATCACATCGTCTTGGTGTTTTTATTTATTCTTATAACCCAACTGAAAACTCTTGCTCTAGATATTTATGGGTCTAGAAATTCAAATAAAATCATTTTAGTTAGACAGACAATTTGAATGATGTTTCCCCTATCTATTATATACTGTGACATTTTTAAAGAAATACTATACAATTACTTATTTATAACAAACAATATTCTGACTTTTTTTTAACTTTTTTCATGACTGTCAATACTTTATTTTATTTTATTGAAACTTCTTTTAAATAAAGTCTTTATGAAATATTATACTGTATATATACTTTATTTAAGACATATCATTTAATATGGAGGCATTTTTATTTAAATTATAATAGGACATTTTCTAAGAGATACTATGACTTTTGATTATTATTAGTATTTATCATACTATTAGTATTCTACAAATAATACATTGACTTTTTTATGATTTACCATTAAAGTTTTACTAGACTAGATACCCTTTCTCTTTTTATTACGAAATACTTTAATGGTCTTGCAATCGTTTTTTACTTTAAAAAACCATGTGCATGCCTTTTTATATAATAGTGTTCCATTTTCTTGGTCTCTATATATACACTTTGCTGTAACAACGTGGTTTCCCCCTTGTGGGACGAATAAAGGAATTCTGATTTAATAACATTATTTATGAAATACCAGGACTTCTATATGGCATACTATGACTTTTTTTAATTACTTTATTGACGACATATTATTTCATGACTTTTTTTTTTTCTTACATACAATGCTGTGACTCTTTTATGACAATTGTGAATGACACACTGTCATGACTTCTAAAGCGTCACCTGTTGTAGGCGCTGACCAGCAGGACGTTGTTGTCCATGGCGGAGTTGTAGGTGGGGATGCTGCTGATGGGGATGAGCAGCTGGGTCTGGGTCTGGCTGCAGTTCTGCTGGTTCTGCAGGGCCGACAGAACCTGGGCCAGCGTCCCGGGGGGAAGCACGCCCCCCGAGCCCCCTTTGATCTGCAGCACGTTGGAGCTGTTGACCAAGATGTTTTGTGGGACGGTGTGGACCTGCACCGGCGCGGAGACGGGGAAGAGGCGTGGGGCGATGGTCATGGGGGCGGGGGACTGCGTGGGGGGCTCCTTGTTCTCGTCGTCCTCGTCGTCGCTCTCCACCTTGATGACGTCCTCGTAGGCCACTTTGTGCGCGGTGCTGAACTTCTTGGGCTCCGGCCGGCTCCTGATCCTCATGATGGGCGTCTTGCTGAGGGCGATGCTGCTGCGGGAAGTCTCCTCCGCCTCGCCATCCTCCACCTTCACGAAGCTGCCGTCGAAGGTGAGGTCGTTGACCGTCTGCTGGATCACCGTTTCGTTGTTTCGCTTCACCATCGTCCTGGTGAAGTTTTCCTCGCCCGGGTGGAGGCGAGTGTTGTGGGCCAGCAGGGTGTCGTAACTGGAGGGGAGAGATGTGGGTCAGTACCTCGTGAAGAGACACAGGAGTACTTGCTCACCGGACAAGTGATCACATATCTGCAAGACTAATGGCGCATTTCCACCATGGCGCGGAGCGCGGTTTAAGCGTGCCGTGTCGTGCCGTGCCCGTTTTTGGTTGCGCTTCCACTAGGCCTAGTTACGGCCCGGGCACTTTTTCACCTCTTTTCTGGCCCGACAAAATTGTGGTTCTATCGGGGCCAACAAACAGGGCTGAGTCGGGCTGAGTATGCTAAACTAGAGAGAGCATCGCTGGCAAGGGGGCTACAACTACAACAAGATGGACATATTTGACCGTGATTTAATTGTAATACACGTTTCAAAATGATGCCGAAGTAACAACATACTGATACCGGTTAGTAAAAACCATGAATTAATGCTTTGACAAGTCTGCAGACAGACGGCAGGCGAAAAACCTTTTAAAATGCGTGTTTTCTAAATGGAGATTGGCTAAGCTAACGCAGTATATGCTCCGACCGTCCACACTCACAACAACGGCCTATACAGACATAAATAAAGCAGCGACTGTATTCACCATGACACAGGCAGTCTGTGGTTTGTACTTGTTTAACTTTTGTCTAGTTTCTGAACATATATAAGGAGCTGTGAGCTCTGAGTGCTAACAGCTAACGGCAGTGTTGTTTTTCTGGGGTTCTCATTGAAGATGACGTCACGGCTCCGCCTACACTGCGTTACTATAGTAACTACCCCAGTTCCTAAACTGTAATGGAAGTGCAGCATGAAGTGAGCCGGCCCTGTTAAGGCCCAACGCGGCCAAGCAGTACCGAGCGAGGCCGAGGCCGACCGTGTGGTGGAAATGCGCCATTATAGAAACTGGTCACTATAAAGTGGTCCAATGAACATTCAACATGCAGTTGATATTATTCTGTTAACATTTTTTGAACTTTCATTAATTTTGAGACCAAAGACAAAATAAAGTGTATACAATTTAAAGAAATTATAATCTCAAGTGTAGAAATGACCTAGAGCCTTGGAAACTCAGTTTAATGAGAGATGGAGAATTACTGAAATGACAGATGTCCTTGTGATAAAGACTATGTAAACTCAACTCAGTCAAGTGTTTTCATCTTATTTTATCTAAAGTATTTTGGCTTTGTCATTTTGTCAAGGAATTACTACTTTAAGAACATATTATTCTCATTTTGGGGGTCATATCAGTATTCTGTGTCTCTACTGTGACATGTCTCCATGCTTTAATGTTCAAAAAGCTCTTTATTTTTCTCATACTGCCTGTGCTGCAGCACCTCTTTTCACCCTCTGTCTGAAACCAGAGCCCAGTCTGCTCTGATTGGTAAACTGGACGGATCTAGTTTGATTGGTCAACCAGATGTCCGCCCCTTAGCCTATCACGTACAATGTGTTTGAGCACCAGCCAATAGAAGCACGAGTTGTACATAGTGATGTCACTGTGGACTATAGGAAAGGCAAAACCCAGAAAAAGCATAAAAGGGCCTCTTAAAGCTGCTGCCATCAGGCATTCACATATTGGAATGTAAATGAATTGTCTTTGTGTACATCTGTTTGTATGCTTCCACGCCTTTAAAGTGACCAATTAAGTATCTGAAATCCAATCCAATGCCTTTTTAGTATTCTACCTCTTGGTGTGGTAGTCACACTCCATGCAGACGTAAGAGGTGTTGATGATGACATCGGGATGCTCCGTGTCCACGTGCATGGTGAACAGGTTGAGCTCCGACGTCTGGAAGCTGCAGTATTTGCACTCGTAGCCCCCTTCCGCCATGTTCAGGTCCTGGTAGTGGTCCGAGGCTGCGTCCTCTGCCCACTCCTCTTGCAGAGCGGGGGGCTCCGAGGAGAGGGGGGGAACGCCGTTACTGTACTCTGCGTCAGCTGCTTCTGGGACATCCTCCATGTCCTGGTCTGAGTCAACGGCTTCTCGAGGGGGCACCATGCAAGGGGTGGTGGATTTCCTCCTGCTCGCCATCCTGCCGATCGGAGAGCACTGTGGGGGGCCACGCGGTGAAAATCAGTTTGAGGCCGTCTGCTGTGGCTCCATAAAGTAGGATGATGACAGTCGAAACGTTTTTCCTTTATCTTCAATTCCTGAACAGAAGAAATTAAAGTGTGAGAAACAGAAAACAGAACACATACATTTCTATTTAGTGTTTGGATCAGTTATGTCAAATTCTGCCAAAGTTTATTTTAACTTATGTGTGTTCAGGCGCAAAATGGTGTAGAAATAGACATTGTTGTTGCATAACTAGCGACGTAAGTGACACACCTGAACTAAAATCACATACAAAAATATAAAATAGAAGACAATATGAGTTGAAAGTTCATTAAAATAGTGGATTTAAGGTATCAGAGTTTAGCAATCTGGTAAAAAATACATTTGCAAATATTTCTATTTCTATTTTGTACTTGTTGGTTGAAATGTCTTAAAATGACTTTTTAGTGTATTGTTATAGATTATCTCAGGTATTTTGAACCACGTTTCTGAGTGTAGTCTAATTTCCTAGTAATGGGTAAATAATAGTCATGTTATCACTTTAAACAAACCTCTTGCTACTCGTATAATCTGGCTGGACTAATGATTAGTATAATTGTTAGAAATCACACACACACACACACACACACACACACACACACACACACACACACACACACACACACACACACACACACACACACACACACACACACACACACACACACACACACACACACACACACCACACACACACACACACACACACACACACACACACACAACACACACACACACACACACACACACACACACACACACACACACACACACACACACACACACACACACACACACACCACACACACACACACACACACACACACACACACACACACACACACACACACACACACACACACACACACACACACACACACACACACACACCTTGCTGTGTATATATATATAAACAGGAGGAAGTCAGCAGCACTAGCAGCAGGGTAGCTAACGGTAGCTAGCTAGTTATGTTTACCGGGACTCTCCACAAGTGGCAGCGGATGTGAGGCGTGTGTACCCGTTAACGGATAACAGTCTGCTGTCAGCTCAGTGTGTGTTTACCTGTTGAAACGACAGCCGTTTACCCGCATCTTGCAACAAACGTGTAGCTGGCTAGCGGCTGTAGCTCTGTAGCATCTCTGGTTCGGTGTGTTGATGCGCAGTCTTCCGCCTTTTACCCAAATACACCGAGGAGCCCATCTGCTTTAGCCCGAGACACGGAGCCACTCAAACGGCTAGTTAACAAGCTAAACTACCGCCTGTTAGCTCCAGTTCCAGCTAGCAGGCTAGTGCTGCTGCAGCTCGCATTGTGTACCTGTTGCTTCGTTAATAAAAAAGACAGTTTAATAAAAAAAGGCACCGATAATTCACCGAATCTGACGATGGGCATTTTTCATACCGCCGCTACAAGCGAGCAACGGTAAAGAAATATATCCGGATTGAACTTTTCAAAATAAAAGCTCCCACTAAATTAAAGCCCAAATATAAAGAAGAAAAACATAATATTGATGCATTAAAGTGTTCATGTGGAGTTTTTTGCAACTTGAAACACAAATTGGGTAAAGAGAAGAAAGAAAATGAGAGAAAACATTGATAAGTTGATTTATAATTTGAGTTATTATAAAGTGAATTTGCGAAATAACTAGTGACATTAATGATTATTATAAAACACCTCACAAACAACAACATGCCTTTAATTATACGGTATAATTAAAGCCGTTTTAAAATATCTTCATATTTAAACTTCAAATTAAATATATTATATTTATTGAAAAAATACGCGATTTAAATATTGTTTTACTAAAATACCCTGCTGTGTCTGTACGTTGACATTCTGTGTGGATTATTTGTATGTTATATCTATGTTATTACTGAAACAGTTCGCAAATCATTTACTTTGAAGGGCTCCATGTAAAGCGGAAACGGCCTCTGGTATAGCGACGTTAGTCTGACGGATGTATCTGTACGTGATTGCGTCATAGACAGACGTCAGGAGTTCCAGCCCTGTTCTTTCCTATCACTGGAGCAGCAGACTCATGTACTGAACAAGTTATGCAAGATGTTACAGTCACACACTGTACCAAACACACCGGAGCCCTCTTTAATACTTACACTGGCGGAAAGGGTACTCAGATATTTTACTTAATTAAAGTTACCTGTAGGCCTACTACAATTTCCAAATACTTTGTTACTTTGTTACATATACTTTGTTAATGCAAAGAAAAATGTATTAGTGTTATTCAGATCATTAAACTAATATGTTGCATTCTTGTAAGCAGACGGTACAGTATGTCACAGTAGAGCAAAATTACAATAATAATTAAAAAATGATTACAGCGTTTTTAATGTTTCGGGTCAGAGAGGTGGAAAGACGTAACTAAGTAGGAGACCAGGGACAGTTGTAACACGGGACAGTTGTAACACGGGACAGTTGTAACGCCTTCAATATTTCCAATCACAAACAAGCTAGAGTGATGAAACTCACTCTGCACATGCTCAGTTAGATCGAAAGATCGCTGTGAAAAAAAGGAGCCACGTTTAAATCTCTCGCGAAAGATATCAGCAAAAGTTTCTGAGGTAAAAAATGTTAAAAAATGATATGATGTATTTTTTGGATAGCCAAATGTCTAGGAATCCAAACTAATCTTATTAGAATCACTCTTTTGTAAGCAAAAAATATAACTAGCTAAATATGGGTCAAGCTAGCAATCAGGCAGGTTCACAGGGGGTGAAAACATGACTGGTGGTCCTGGGACGGTTGTAACACGGACCACAAAGGGGAGAAAAAGAAGAGAAACCGCTGTCCTCACAGACACTCCTATAAAAAATCAACTCGAGGCTGAGAAAAAAAAGTCTAACGCAAACAAGTCTAAAGCGAAGAGAAAAATGAATTTCTGCAAAAACCCCAAACCCAACAAGAAGCAGAAGATTCAGGACTCATCTCATGAAGATGAAGCTCAATACTGCATTGTGTGCCTGGAGAGCTACTCCAGGTCCAAGGAGATCTGGCTGCACTGTTGGCCAAAGCCTGGGCACACAAGGACTGCACAGATGGAAGTGACTTCCTGAGAGCAATAGTATGAAGCTGCAGCGTCGGAGGCTGCACTCTCAGGACCGAACTCACAGGACCGCACTCCCAGGACCCTAGTTGTTTTGCAACATCGCCACCTAGCGGATTGGATGACCGCAAAAGTACAACCAGCGAGTATTGAGTCTCATACACAGCGAGTCTCTTTAGACATTGTAATGCTTGTTATTAACCATCTAAAAATGCATGAAAATATGTTTTTCTTACTGAAATTAAATTATTATTATTAACAACAAGTTGTTGTTAATATGTTTTTGTTTTTTAATAACAAATGTATTTTGTATGTCAGATGTAAAAAGATAGTCTTTTATATTTGTCTTATCAAATTTGACATACAACCTAAATATATATATATATATTGTAGTAATAATGATATAATCTATTTATAATTGTAAATGTATATTGTATGTAGACATACATTTAGATGTATATTTTGTTAAAACAAAACAAAACTGTTAATTTAGTTTTTGGGAGAAGGGGTGGGGTTAAATATGTGTAAACTCCTTTGAATCAATTTGATACTCCTTATGTTTCTACAGTATCATAATTCTCTTGTTTCATTTTATTATTATTATATATATTTTTTTTATTGTATTACACGTTCGAAATAAATCAAATCAAATGTGTCTTTGAAGAGGTGCTAGATTACTCAAAAACAACTGTTAGTGTGTTTATGCACCAGGCTGCAAAAGATAAACATGCAATTTGACGAGAGGCATTTCAGTGCAGAATACATTTGTATTTATTGGGCACAATTTCCACACTGTGGATTCTTCACTGGGGTGAGGCGGGGTCTGCTGTTCACTCAACCACTAGAAAACAGCTCCAGCTGCAGTACCCCGGGAAGCGTCAGCATTGATTGGCAGTAGAAGCAGTGGAAATGAAATCCTGGTCTGCAATTTAATGCACATCTGTGAATGGTATACCCTTAAACATAAGAACATAGAATTGTAGTATTATTATTTTGTGATCATATTATTTTAAAGTGTAAATTATGAATACCAAACATCTGAATCAAGTAACTGGTCACCACAAACAAATCATAGAAGGACTTGTTTTGATTTATTGCTCAAATGGAACTGATCATAACATTCAGGCTGCTTTTAATGCAGACACATTGCAACTTCATTTGCATTTCACAAGAGAATGTTTGCAAACTTTACCTTCATGGAGAACTGCACGGTTAAAGTGGCTCTCTAAATGGGTTTGGACCTTGCTCAGTTTGGCTGGGTGGAACACATTTGAGGCACAGAACGGGCAGTGAAAGACTTCGCAACATGTAGTGCATCGTTGTAAGTCGGGCAAGGATCTCCCCTCTTGGATTGAAATATGCATCTTGAAAAAGAGAGAGCCTAATTGGTCAAACTGAACATTTTGAAATACTTTCACAGACAGACATAAATTAGGCCTAATTGTTAGATTCTGACACGACAGATTCTAACCTACAGAATAGGCCGACATAATAACTGACAAAAACACCTCATGCAATATTACAAAACATGTCAAAATGATGAGACTGTCTGATAAACAGTAAACAGGCAGTCAGCACAGTTACGATTATTTACAATGAATTCAAATAGTAATACAATGACTATTAAAGAAGCATTTACACTGAAGACAGAACTTATATTAGGCTACTGCTGATTTAATGTAGCGGACAGACAGATCATATTGACATGCTTTTGTCATCCTTTGAAGTTTAATTAATTAGCTGACTATAATTAATGATCAGGGTTGGGAAGTTTACTTTTTTTAAATGTAGTAGGTTACAGATGACTAATTACCCTGTTAAAAATGTAATACGTAATGTAACTGACTATGTAACTATTCGTATTGATAATCTAATGTTAATTATGGTTCTTTTATGTTTTTTGTGAGTCACTTTGGATAAAAGCCTCTGCTAAATAACATAACCATAACATACGGTTTCATTGACATTTAGCACGTGTTGCTTGTATTGCTGTCCAATTGAATACACCAGAATAGTTGTTAACTTTAAACAAACAACATGATTCACATTACTCACACTCTTACTGTAATTAGTGATTAAATCAACAATTAATGTAGGACACCTAGTTGGGCTTGCCAAAATCACGCTACAGTTTCATTAAACAAATAATGAAATATGCTAACGAAGCTAATGCTTTTGCTAACAATGCTTTTGCCGAAAGCTATAGCTAACAAATAATTGTTTTTAGTGCCTTTAATACTGTTAGAAGCTATCATAAGCTAACAGATGTTTGTTTGTATTGCCTTAAGACTATCATAGTTAATGTTAGCTAATCATACTTCATTTCAAGACACCGGAATTGTTATTAATGTTAACCTCCCGCGTATACTGCCACGCCCACCTGCTGTATATGAGGCGTCTGTTTACCTTCCGACCTCAGACATGAGCTTCGTCTGAGTTATTTAAGCAAACACAAATACAGATCGTCGACCAGTCAAATGCAATAGCAATGCTGATTCGGAAGCGAAGGCGGTTAAGAAGGATTGACAAAAGGATTGCACGACGACATGCACGCGCTATGGATTGCGTAACCTGTGTGAAATGAATAAACTGTGCCAGGTGTGTCGTATGCACAGTAAATAGGCTCAGCAGTTAACACACCTTTATTATATATCCTGCTGAGAGCAACTGCATCCGTCTGCCATGAACCCTACAGAAACCTACGTGTTAGTTTTGGCCCATAGTGGCCTCCATTTGTGTCGTGTAAAATGGGGGAAATCAAAAGTTAGCAAATCCCCATGTCATGTTCATAAAAACATTTAGTTTTAGGTCAAATAATTATTACACTGCTCTGAAACTCACTACACTAACTCCTAAGATGTTCCCTTACTATAATTAATTAAAAATATTGAACTCACAACACTGGTAATAACAAACTTAACCATTTCTCTTTCTATAAATAAATAGTGGTGGTGTTGATGGACGCCATTTTGAAATACAATGAAATTATCTTTTTGAAAGCCACAATAAATAAAGCTTCGCCAGTTTATAACCAATGAAACATGATGGTATCAGAATAATCACTTACATGTGATGTATAGGATGCTACACAGGTCACTGTAAAGATAAAGTGTCAGAGGAGAAATAAGCAAGCTTAGTTACATGAAATGTAATGAAAAATGTAAGATACAGGCTCTGTTTAATCGCCATGTAGGTTCTCTTTTATTGCACACTCAAGACAATATCAATAACAGCATCACGCTGTCCCAGGTGTGTCATATGCATGTAAATAGAAGTTAACATTTTCAATATAAAACAAAGTGTCAGTAGTATCAAAACATATATATATTAGGGCTGTCAGTCGATTAAAATATTTAAT